GGGGGGGGGTCCCCCCGCTCCCAGCATGCCCCGCGCGCCACGCTCATGCTAAGGGCGCCGCGCTGCATGCTGGGAGCTGGCCCTGCCAGGGGGGCCGGGCCGAGACCTCGGGCGAATCCCCCGCCCCGCCCCCGCAGCCATGCACGTGCAGACCCTCCTCCCTCGGTGTCCCGACGTCCAGCCTCAGCTCACCTGCGCCCGCTAGCAGCCGCGGAAGCAGGTTGCTTTTCAGCCTCTTGTGGGCTAAGAGCCGCTGGAGGAAGTGTCTGAAGTCCTGGATTAAAGACGAGATGTGGGTTTTCCGAAAAATTTTAAATTGGAAAGTTTTATGTCAAATTTTCCAATGCCCTAGATAGAGCGCGATCTGATTTAGCATGTTTCTTTGACTTATATTTAGTGAACAAAACTAAAAAAAATACCGCATGTTTATTTTATGTCCCAATAGACACAAGTATTTGAAATGAAATATTTGCTTAAGAAAAAAAATTGAATACAGCACACTTAATGTGGTCTAAATGTTATATTCAAACAAATTCAAAGCTTTATGTGTAAAGATTATTTTTATTGGAATACTTGTAAAAATGTAAAGACAATACACAATAGCATGTATTTCCCTTACATTGTTTGTTTAATTTTAAGGGGAAAAAAACAAAAGCACTGAAAACTGCTGACACAGTAATGTTTGCACACCCAAAGAACTGTGCATGATATGCCGTGGGTTTTCCACTCATCTACTTCAACAGAGTTTAACTCTCTTCCACTGAGGTCATTGCGGCCCCTCCAGTTTCACGGTCACTATCTGTAGTAGAATCACTTGCACGACTTGTTAGTTCCGTTTCAGAATCGGATTGAGGCAAATCTGACTCAGAACTACCTGAACCACATTCTCTTTTGCTGAAGGATGGTTTTACCAATGAGTCTATGGGCAAGGGCAACTTATCATCACACTACATCTTCTTCACTAATTGCGTTTCTGACTGATTCTCCAGAAGCAAGAGATTTTGAGAAATAGAAACAAGCTTAGCGGTGCATTCATTTCTTAGTCTATTCCTCTTTTTTGTCTTGATTGAACTGAAAGCCTTCCAGGGAATGCTTGGGATCCTTAGAGCAATCCTGGACAACAGTCGAGTATTACAGTTTCCCTTCCACCATGTGAGAGGAGACATATTCTCTGCTGCCTCCCAAATGATGTCTTTGCTCCAAAGCTTTTCTTTTGCACAGTACTTGGCAATGTCTGTCATCACGGCGATTTCATCGACGTTGGGGATATTCTTAGCTACTTCCATAATTGTATCGAGAGCAGTAGATAATTCATCTTCTGATAAATGTTGTCCTCTGTGTTGAGAATCCAAAAGATTTGCTGCCAGATGAACTGGATGAGAGCAAAACTCAGATCTTTTAGTAAACATTTGTTTTACTTCTTTTTTGGATAGAGGTGAAGAAGGCAAAAGCTCAATTAGATTTTTCATTCAGTTGTCTGAATATCTCTGGAATATTTGAAAGGCTTGGTGCATCTCCTTCAAGTTTCTTGATAGCCACTGAAACTGGTAGTAGCAAATTGACTGCTTATTGAACTCGAACCCAGAACACATGGTTGTCAAGAATCTGCTTCCAAATGATCACGGGAATAATCTGAGATACTGTGTCATCTATTGAAGCACACTGCAAACAGTTCTTTGTGCACAGCAAACTATGTCAACACTTTGTAGCTGAGCTCCATCTAGTTTCTCCTGGCAATAAAATACCCTTTCCTTCCCCTGCTTCTCTTTCTGTAATTTCTTCAGAATCTGATTAGCAACATGATGATTGTTGAATACCTTCACAATTGCTTTACAGTTTGCCAATATTGTCTTAATTGTATTCACATTTACTATGTCCTTTGCCAGAAAATTCAACCCGTGAGCAAGACAGCCAAATACTATTAAATGAGAATACTTTGCCTTTAATATTTGCCATGCAGCTTTCATGTTACTTGCATTATCAGTTACAAGGGCTTGTACCCTGGAGGGACCTGCACTTTCAATCTCTTCACTCAATAATTTGGCTATGTATTCACCTGTATGACAAGAAGATTTGGTAGCAATTGCTTTCAGGAATGTTGGTTCTGGTATTGCTAACATAATGTTTAATAAAGGATTTCCTTGTACATCAGTCCATCCATCTGACATCAGAGCCATTGATTCTGCTTGACCAATCCTTTGAATAACCATTGTTTGAACTCTGTCATACTCTCTATCTAAGAGAGAACATGGTAAGCAATAATGTGACAGTAACTTATATGATGGGCAAATTAGTTTGTAATGTTCCTTCCAGTATTGATTTTCAATTATGGAAAGAAGTGTACCGCTTGCAAATATAGCTCAAGCTAATGTCTCATCTGGTTTTTCTTGATCTTCTTTTGACATTTTGTCCACAAACCTTGATAAAAAGCTTGATTGTCTTGAACAGCTACTCATTGTGGATCCCATATCTGGTGACAGTGACCTTGAAAGCAAGGATCCTGCTTCTCCTTCCCCCAGACCTGGCAGCTCAACATTTTCATTTTCCATTTTTTGCAAATCTGCTATTTCATTTGAGCTACCAAGTTCCTGTAACAAAAGGGGGAGAAGATTTTTATTTTAGCTGTCCCAGGGAGAGACAAGCGGAGACCCCGGAGTACCCGCCTGCAGCGGGACCCGAGGCAGGGCAGATCTGCCTGAAGAAGGAAAGAAAAAGTCCTGAAAATGGGGCATGCTTACCATTTTCAGGAGTAACAGAGCCACGCCAAGATGAACCACCCGCACAGTTTGTCAGCAACTTTTATTTCCAGCTGGGAATGGTGCCAGCCGATGACACAATCAAGAATCACCGCCCAGCTGATTTAAAACCAGTGGTGGGGAGATTGAGGTGGGGGCAGCAACGACGGAGCCAGACAGCAAGGCTGCTCCCTGGGCTGCACCTGAGCTGTACCGGCAGCTCAGCAGGAGGCCAGACAGAGACCCACTGGAAGGGTCCCAGCTTCATGAAGAGGACTAAGCACCCGGCTCGGCAGGGAAGCTGAGTCAAGAGGGACAGCGTCAAGGGACCTTGAGGGCCATAGACACTGGATCCAGGAGTGGAGCGGGCTGAGGCCCCGTGCCCCAATTATTCCTTTCTTTTCTTGGTTTTTTTTGTGTCATTGTTGTGTTGGAGGTTGTGCAGAGCCCAAGCTGGGGAGTGAGCTTCTGAGTGACCCTCTGGGTCAAGAGGGGAAAACCAAGGCAGCCCAGAGGATTGCTATGCCTCAAGCAGAGTGGGAACGCCATGACAAGGACGGTCCCGAATCCCATAGTCACAGAATGGAGGGACAGAGAAGATGAACAGGGAGAGAAGAGGGCAGGTGACAACATTGAGGGGCTGGCTGGTGACTCATCATCTGGCCACCCTAAAGGCTGGCTCATGGCTGGGGTGTAGGGGAGGTGGAGCCCCAAGAACACCTGCCAAGGGCAGCATCCAGCCTGCAAGGAACCCTGAGGAGGAACCCCTCTACTGAAGAAAAAAAGACCAAGTTGTGGCAGGAGAGTGTCTGGGCCTCTGTCAGGGGTGAACATAACCCCACGCTCAGGGCCTCAAGGACATACCCTGTGGCTAGCACCGGGTGTGCACTCTAAGGCAGCTAGGGAACATCTATACAAGGCCAGGCAGGTGCAAGTCTATTCTAGTCTGACCTCATTCAACAGAGAAGTGGCAGGGAGCTTGTTTCCCCCTCCCTGCCAGAAAGAACACTCTGCTGCTCAACTTGCTGCTCAGTTGCCCCAGAACTGCAGAGCCAAAGGGAAGTATAGTCTGGCCTCTGCTATCATTTGATCTCATAGGGATAGCGGTCCTGGTGGGACTCCTCCTATGGCTGGATTATGGTTATAAATGGCTATACCCTGTACAAGAGAGATCGTGCTGAAAAAAGAGGCAGGGGTGTAGCTCTCTATGTGAAGGAGAGCTACACAGCCCTATAAGCTGAGACTGGCACCCAAGGAGGATGACGGGAGACCCTTTGGGTTAGAATATGAAGGGAACGTGATTAAGGGGATACAATGGTAGGAGTCTACTATAGACTTCCAAATCAGGAACAAGAGCTTGACCAAGAATTTGCCAGGGAACTGGCCAAGGCTGCACAAGCACAGTGCATGGTTGTCATGGGAGACTTCAACTACTTGAACATCTCATGAGAAGAGCACTCAGCCAAATCCATTCAGTCTCAAAGCTTCCTTACATGTGTGGATAAGCTCCACCTGTCTCAAGAAGTTTATGGGCTGACAAGAGGTAAGGCGCTGCTGGACCTAGTACTGGCCAAAGGGGATGGTCTAATCAGTGACCTAAGAATCGAAGGGAAGCTAGGTGACAGTGACCATGAGTTGATCACTTTCACAATCCATTGCAAAGCTGGCAAGTCAGCCAGCAATGCAGTAGTCCTTGACTTTAGGAAATCTGACTTTCATAAGCTCAGGAGACTTGTTCTTGAGGCCCAGAGAGACCATGATTTCACAGGGTGGGGAGTTCATGATGAGTGGTTGCTCCTTAAGGAAGCAATCCTAGAAGCACAAGGGGAGTCTATCCCAAC